GCCGTTCGTACGCTGAATCAGTAAAGAACAACTGGATAGAGACAGACAATCAGTGCTCCCTAGATTCTTGAAAGGTGTTAACGAAGGCCGCCAAGCACCATAAAAACACCTGACCCCGGGCCCCAACGGCGAGACGTTTCTATAAAATTCAATACCCTGATCCAAGCATACTATCCCCACCGGTACTTCCTGTACCACCAAGACGCCTAATATATTTCACACAATATCCCATATGCCAGGTGGGCGTGACCGCAGCCCTCAGGGCCGCTGGCCACGCCTGCTTACGCTCGAAATGCACACGCCGCTGCGAATCTCTCCCTTTACATGACAGCACAGGCAGCAGCAACTGTCCTAGCTCTCCTGCGCCCACCATGCGCAATGCCGCCCTCTTCCTCATCGGCGTGCAGCATCTGGGCTTCTCTCGCCCGGCGGCGCCGCCTTCGGTGTCCTGCTCCTGTGGCGCCAGCCTCTTCATTGGCCTGCATGTAATCCGCCCAGCGACGTTCCAGCCTGCTGGCCGCCGCAAAGTCCCCGCGGAGGACGCGCTTCATGTGTTCGTCGATCGTCATCTGGAAGCCGTAGAAGGCCTTAAGTCCAATGACTTCCATGGGATACGAGTCGGGTTTGACGTGAGCATTGCGGAACAGCACCTCGCGGACACCAGTCCAAGTGACGTTCTGACAATCGTACACGACCATGTTCAGGCTGACAGAGGGCCGGGCTCGCGAATCCGTGGTACGCTCGGCACGCTTATTGACCATGTGTGCTGCCTCTGCAAGGACGAGATCACTGATACGCGTATTGTCCAGGTCAATATTCTGCAGCCGAATGCAGTTCTTGACAACAGGAAGCATACCAGCGTCACCAAGATCTTCGCAGTAGCCGAGGGAAAGGTGCTCCAGGTGTGGAGCACAAGGGGCTTTGGCGAGATGTTCGGAAAGGAAGGCGTTGGTGAGCTCGGCAAGATCCTCCAGCTCGAGGTGAGTCAGACGTGGCGTTGAAGCCAGAATGGTCTCAAGTGCAGTGTCGGTCAACGCTGTGCAACCAGACAGCTGCAAGCCCTCAAGGTCTGGTGTCAAGTGACCAAGTGCGCGAACACCCCTGCTCGTAAGGCGGGTGCAGCGACTGAGATCGAGATGGCGCCACTTGCGTCGGGGAACCCCCGGGATATCGGTCAAGATGTCGATTCCGGCTCTTCGG